TTAAAGTAGATACCACGTACTATAATAAAATACTAAATTAGGTATCTAAGTATATAAAGGAAATACCTAACGATTACGTAATAAAGATAGGAAAAGGACCTACTAGGAATAGACTACTCTAGATACTACCGCCGCTACGCGATAAAATCTTAACTAATATCCACGCGTACCTTACGGTAGGATACTAAGGAGTTAGAAAGACTCTAGAACGAATTCGACGAACGTACGACTACTAAGGGATTAAAATAGATATCGCACGTATCGTCGGATAATACGAAGATTACGCACGTAGTAAGGCTGCCCGATATAAACTATACGGAGAACTAAAGCCACTACCCGTGCCTTTAAGACTATAAGAATTAATAGCCTTCGACTATATTATAAAGCTACCTAAGTTAATCGAACTAGGATCTAACGTCGAATATAATAATATATTCGTTATCACGGACCGAATAAGCAAATTCGGATATTTCCTACTATATTAAGAAGTAACGGACGTAGAAACACTCGCGTATACCGTACTTAAATATATCGTAGCTAACCACGGCCTTCCGGAAGAAATTATTTCGGATAGAGGAATAATATTTACCTCGAAATTCTGGCAAGCCCTAATAGCTTAATTAGGAACCAAGTATAAACTTAGTATAGCTTATTACCCCTAGACGGATAGATAAATAGAAAGATTAAATTAAATATTAGAATAATACCTACGGTGCTATATTAACTACGAGTAAGACGATTAGGTCTTAAAGCTACTACTCGCCTAACTCGCTTATAATAGCGCGCTAACGGAATTAACCTAAATCTCACCGTTCTACGCGAACTACGGATACGAACCTAAGTTCGGTAGTAAAACACTAAGGGATAGACCCCTAGCTAAAAAAGTAATACTTAAAGTAGATTAGCTACGCTCTTTATACGAATATATAAAAAAATAACTCGAATTCGTACGGATACGAATATCGAAATACTATAATAAGAAAAGATCGAAGGGACCGATCTTTCGAAGAGGAGATATAGTCTACTTACTACGTAAATATTTTATAATAACTCGACCTTTACTAAAACTCGATTATAAAAAATTTAGACTATTTAAAGTCGACGAAGTTATCTTAGATACTAACTATAAACTTTTATTACCCTTAAGTATAAGGATATACCTAGTTTTTTATATCTTATTTCTCGAAAAAGCACTATAAAACGCAAAAACTAAGTACGAACTAGAGGTTCTCGAAGAACTCTACGAACTAAAACGAGTTCTTAATAAATAAAGAATTAATAAAGAAATTAAGTACTTTATTAAATAGAAAGGATACGTAAGTAATAAAAATATATAGGAACCCGCTAAATACCTTATAAACTACGGCCACCTGCTGCGGTAGTTCTGTCGAGCCTAGCTAAACCGAAATTAGCTAAAATAGACGGGTCTAGCGGTATGTCTTTATATACCGCGTCTTAAGTCTATATAAAATCAGGCTCTAGGACGTTCTCGGTGGAAGAACGACTAGCGGAGGAACCCGATACCGCTAATCGCCTTTGCTCGCGTTTAGCCTCCTTACGTTCCACGCGCTCTAGTTCCTCCACGCTATTAATACTATAAGACACGGCCCTTATTATCTTCTCGGACTATAATTTCTTTTATTTTCGAAGATAGAGTACTTTTTCCTCCGCACGCTCGAGTTCGGTCTCGAGTTTCTAGTGTTATTCGGCGATCTTACGAAGCTACGAGGTGGACACTCCGCCAATATCGCAAGCTGAACGATTCGAGCGAACGTACTTAATATAACGGGAAGAATTATCGGCAGAGACCTAATAGGTCTTGAGCCTACGACGCTCGTAATTTGAGTAAGTAGGTATATCAACGGAATGCGCGAAAATGGTTTTAAGAAGTCGGATCTTACGCTCTTTGGCATTAATAGACGATTTCCGCGCGCGTTTAGTAACACGGCCGGATATAGCGAGAATAATTAAATAGGAAACTCACTAGAACTAACGGAATAAGGATAGGCGTTTAAATAATCTTAGGGATAAGATCTTAAGAGGAGGGGCATTATATTACGACCTAATATACGGCCTTCACGTGCTTCTAGGCACGCCTTACTTTTTCCTACCACTTATAGTACGATTATTACTTATATAAATAATCGCGCCCGCGATTATTGCGATTATCACGAATCGCTACGAATAAGTAGATAGATTATTGCCAGGAATAATGATCGCCTTAGTATATAGGAAGCCTAGCTTCACTATAGTCAGTCTCTACCAGCTCTCCTTAGCTATTAATATAATTATCTACGCAAGATCTACTATCTCGCATATAGACTATGACCCGACCGCTTAAGTCAACGATATCCTAGTATACTCAGTTCATAACCCGACTTCTATTCTATCTACCCGGTAGCTAGTCTAGACCCGAACGTCACATAGAGGGGTAATTCTAGCCCCTCTAAAGCCTCCCTTGATATTACTTTCGGTTAATATAGCTCGGAATATAGCGTAGAAGGCGTAAAGAAACTTAGTCTTTAAAACGTATATTATAGAGTATTTGATTAGATACTCTATTTCTCGACTATATGCCGTTTTAAGCGGCCTAAAGCAGCCTATATTAAGAGGCTAGAGTAAGTAAGACGAATAAAGAGGTATATAGAGCGTAATAATCTTATTCTCCTTATAATATACCTCGAACTCGGTAAAGTAGTGGCTTTTATAGCCGTTAAGGATTAGAAAATAATAGGCACTATTCGATCGCTTTTTTATATATTAATTAAAGTACTTTAGCTATAGGAGACCTATAGTATTATCGGTCTAGCTGTTTTTTATAGTTACGATAGCCTAATTGCTAGGGAGAGTGCTTTCTTAATACTAGCTTAAGAGGTAATATTAGCCTATAATAACGATAAATAGCGGCGCTACCTAGCCCTATATAGAGATCGATTAAATAACTATAACCTATTCCCGGTTTCTAGGCTAGACTCTTTTCGGGTTCCTACGCCTTTCGGCGCCTATAATAACTATACCGCTTATAATAACGCCTATTATAAAGCCTATCTCGTCGAAGTTATAGATATTATCTAATTAGATACTATATTTCGCGATTATATTCGCTATAAGTCGAAACTATACGTTTATAGCGACTAGATCTTCGTATTTAGCCCTCTAGTAGTTATATCTACGAAAGAAACGCGTCTTAAGCTCTAGTTACCGCCTAATAAAATTCCCTGCCTAGCGCTTACTAACGGGTAACGCGTCGCGGTCGATACGCAATAGATTAGCTATTTCTTTAACACCACTAATCCGAGGGGAAAATCCTCGCGAATCTAGATCGAGTATATACTCGATTAGCTTCTGTTCTTTAAGATCGGATAGTTTCCGCGAATTAGCTATTATATCGCGTCTTAATTAAGTTCCGTGCTTACGATCTCTTAGCGTCGTGCGTGGAATATTATAGATCTTAGCTACGCGTCGTATACTTAATTTTGGGTTGGTTTAAAGCGCTTAAATAGTAAGAAGGGTATTAGCTTTATTCCTTTGATCTGATATTGCTAGTTATTGTGGAATAATTAATTAAATAATGATGATAGATAATGATAGGAAAGTGGGCGGTTCGCTTGTCTAGGTGGTTCGCTTATTAATCACGTTATATAGACTTCTAGAATAAACTTAGCGTAATAATATTTATTGTCCCTTAATTAATTATACTATAAATATAGGTATAGTTTATCTATACTAAGTATAGTTACCCTTTATTCTTACGTAGTTAACCCCGCCTCCTCTTTAGTAAAGCCGGGATCGCTTTACGCCCGCGTCCTTTACGCTATTTATAATATTCTTTTATATAACGGGGTACTTATACCTTTTCTAAGTCTACTTACTAATTATATTTAGCTAGCTAGCCTTTTGATTTTATTAAGTTTACTAGTTATTTACTTACCCGCTTATAGGCTTAAATAGATTTAATTTCTTTTTAATTAATTTCGTTTTCGAGGTCCGGTATTAATAATACGGCCTCTCCTTAGAGGTATTCCGATCTAGTAATCTAGGGTTCTAATCTACTAATATAGAATTATTGAAGAGTAGTACTCTTATAGGCGCAGTAGAAGGAAGATCACGACTAATTCGATGATCTTTAGGGTAGGCAAACAGATAAAAGAATGACGACTTGATTCAAAAGAACCATCTAGTAGTGAATGAAGGCCTATATTTATAGGCGTGAGGGCGCTATAATGCCCTATAAAAGAGTGGATTAAATCGAACCTAGTTGAAGATTACAGAAGGTTTGATTTATAATAGCGAGTGTGGTAGTGCTAACATTCGAATGTTATAGAAAGCTTCAGAAGCACTGCATTCGTAAGCGCTATGGATCCTTGTATTAGTCCCCTAAAAGATCCCTGAAAGTTCTAGGGCCCCCTTGCAAGGGTTATGTGAGAGGGCCTCGTAAGGCACGTAATAAGGGAATTATATTCCTCTTTTTTGATAATATATAAATCCGTAGAATAGGTTTAGTTACGAGAGGGGAAAGATAGACTTTTTTCGTATCGCTCCTTCTCTCACGCTTATACTAATGCGATAAGGTCGGTATCTATCCTAGCATAGTCACGGATACATAGATCCTCTAGAGATATAGTAGGATATAGGGGTATTTAGGGGTAGCAGAGGAGACGTGTCTTATGAAAGGAGGGGAAGTATATTTGACTAGGTGGGAGGGGCAGGGGTTGCCTTTTCGCACGCAAAATAGCGAGGGAATGCTAAGTCCGTAGGCCTAAAGACCTAGAAAGCAAGTATAAGCGAACTGCTTAGAGAATATCTTTCGGGAGTACAATATTAGGTTTGCCTTTACTATCCACCTATTAAACTACTTACCTCCCGAAGGGGACTTAATATAAAAGCTAAACTCATCATCCCGACGCGGCGTAGCATCCTTCAGCTCTAGCTTTACGATTCCCATCTCCGGAATAGGATCAATAACCACTTTTCTATCAACCATGTCCGTTACCTTCTCTTCAAATCCCCATAGCTGGCTTGTTTGCTTGTATCCCGGCGTGATAGTGTTTCTTCCCATTAGACAGATATACCTATCATCATTCGAACCTTTACCAAAGATGACCTTTGTGGTGAACATAACCTGGTCAAAGTCATAGGCTTCAAAACTGAAAAGCTCGGTAGCCGTGGGTTGTATGTGATCATCAATAACTGCGTTCGTAAGTTTTGTGCTCATACGTCATACTGATATATGTTCTTTGAACATGGAAAGGACAACGAGCAACATACAGTGGGTTCTCCCATTGGTGAAACGAATGGACTGAGCGATGAATTTTGTCTTCTTGACAGCACGCTGGAAAATTAATGTCAGTGAAGTTTCATAACATTTTCCTACAAAGTATCGCAGACTCACTAGTACTTCGGTCTGAAGAGCTTTCGGGTCGTTGTCAGGCGGCGACGTAGCCTCCTTCGGCGTTTTGCTAACCTTCTCGACCTAGGTGCCCGTTCGTTAGTCACCCTTTCATAGTAAGCAAAGATTCCACTGCATACCCAGCTTCGATAGACCTGCAGTTGTGTGCTGAGCTTGGTGTCGAGTTGATCACGACCCGTTCTACCACTTGTATAATGGTTCGAGTCAACTAGAGGTCGTTTAGCTCCATATTTGATACATTGACTAGAAACTGTGTGTCATACTCGCCCGAAGCATTTTCTGAATGACCAAGCACTCGGTAAAGTCGCTAAACACGGCCCAGCTCTAAACAAAAGGTCTTAGCGAGAAGATGCGTACTAAGTAGGTTCGCAACACATACTCGATCTTTGGCTTCGGCATAGTCAAGTGGCTGAAATTCGTTGTTGAAGTTGGGAATGTTGGTATATCTTTCCAACAGCGCACTGTATCTATGATTAGTAAAATTGAACTATCAACTCAGCTGTGGTTTTCTCACAATCGCTTGTAAGTATGCTTCGGAGCACTATTGTAAAAAGCGTCGGCAACCTGCTTGAGGCGCAGCATGTTATTGTCCGCCCCCTCGCTCGCCTGCATCTCGGTCGGAGTTCCAACGTAGTGAAGATAAATTTTGACCTCGGAGCTTTTCTGGATTTTCTCCATGCTTTGCTTTACTTCAGAAGTAATTTCCGCATTGGCACTGTAAACCGGGAAAGCAGTCTTGGCCCTACACGTCGGTCTGTGTTAGTGCAGAGATCCATGTCACGGCGTCAGGATGTTGCTGCAAAACTCACGCGACCTGAAGCTCATGTGATGTTGACTTCTCATTGGTGATGATAGAAACGCGAGCAAAGAGGGCCCCGCCCTTGACAAAATCTGAATACTGTTAGCTGCAGGGACGCAACGTCACCATCGGAGAGAGTGATACCGGAGATGAATCGGTCGCCGTATTTGCCTCGAGGATCGGAGGTCTCTTTCCAGTTGAATTCATACTTGGATGTTGCGCTCGGCTGACGCTGAGCATCCACCTTGACTATATAGGTGAGCAGACTTTTCTTTATCTATGTTATTGATTAGGAAACTGATTCTCAAAAAATCTTTAAGGGAGGTTGATATTACCTCTGTCTTGTCGAGAAACTTGGAGTCAATTTTAGATTCTGTTCCCCACCCAGAAACTCCCGCACCAGCACTGATATCGAGTGTCTGCAAAAGTTCGCTATGGGGAATAGACGTTAGCTGTTTTCTTTTTATGAGAGACCTGAACCAGTGCTGAATACTTGTAGTCCTTGATCTCGCTCGATTCATAGACGAGATTCATGGGGGTGTCTGGGTTATTTGTCGCCTCAACGGTCACGGCATCGTGCACGCAAGTTTGCTGTAGGTAGGAGTTGTAACTAGAGGATGGTAGTCCAGTATGTTAGCTTGGTTCTTTTGGGATCTTTCGGAATATGTTTACCCTTGGCCCTCTGTCATGCCATCGGCATATGGAACTCGAACTTGGCCGATCATTGTCAATCAAAAGTCAAGAAGAAACACCGATATTCTTTTCCCTAGATGGAGACCAAATAAGATGAAGGCTGAGAAGTTTTCTTTGAGTTTTCTCCTTTTAATACATTCGCATATTTTAAAGGGATATACTCATGCCCATGTCGGGTAACGAATGCGGTCCCCTCATTTCGTCAGTGATTTTGTCATTGGTCAGGCCTATGTCATGATATCACACAGTTGGACATGGGTTGGGCATCAGCTCTTGGAAGAATTTGGGCTCACACAGCCAGCCACAAGCTGCAGGATGTAGCGGGTCTCGCATCGACGATTGCCGTCCGGATTATTTGTGAGGTGGATGCGTCCGTCAAGATAGTGGCACCAGCCAGCCAGCCACATACAGTCAATCATAGTCTTATTTGGAAGCACTAGCGAATGAACCCCTCCTCGGTACGGCACGAACGCACGTCGGTTACATTCTTACAACTGCCCTCATTGCATTCTATTGGTTCATACATGTGAGGAATGCGCCCTCTATGGAATGAGCTCAGACTCGACGTCGCTGATGTCACCGTCCAACTCGTTGGCCGCCAGGATGGCTCGCTAAACAGTGGCTTGAACTGTCAGCTTCTCGGCCTTGATGATCATCACCCGACCTGATCGTTTATGACTAGCGTGCGGGCGCTCTGGCAATGCAATTGGGGCGGTGAGCTAACAGAAATGATATCAATGCCATAATGGTAGACACATCGGGCATACAACAATCATTAGCCGACGCCATGATGGTATTCGATTCCAAGTCAGGGCGCTGCTGGCGGCGAGTAGCCACCGCGGAAACTTTGCCGATTATCACGAGTGGTTCGACCACGATGACGCGCGTCTGAGCTGCTCGTGCGGCCGAAGGATAGCACCATATAATCTCTTCTATTGTCGGAACGTACTGACGCGTTATCGAGTGAGGCTGGGCCCTTGGCCGACTGCGACAATCCACCGAGCAATAGGTAAATGCTTCGACCAATTCGTCAAAATGTCGGAGGCAAGCGTATTCTTTCGATCGCATCTGCCTCTGGAATTTGTGATGAAGCACTTGCTTCATTCCCAATCGTTTTGTTTCTCATTTATCCTCAGTGTTCACTCTCTCACTTTGCTTTGTGTTTCCTTTTCTCCCCTTTTTTTTTCGAGGCGGTGGCGTCATCTTCAGTGGATAGAGTATAGGTTTGGACGAAAATCCTCTTATGGGGACAACGGAACGGCAGCAGAGCTTTCACGCCTGCACATCCGCTGACGGATTAGCAAACTCAACGTTGAAGCGCCTTAAAGCCGATGAAATGCTGGACTGTGGTTTGTTTCCGTGGCAGGGATCTGAAAAGTCTCGCGCGGCTGATGGTCACGCGTTAGCGATGACTAAGGACACCCCACCATTGTTGCCTCCATAGCGCGCTACCCGGAACGAAGGACATGACATGTAGTCGATCGCTAGCTCAACACGTCTTGCGCCCCGATGGGGACTAAAATGGTAATGAGCCTATAGCACCACGACATAGGACACGCATTTAGTTAGGATGACGATTGACAGGAAACCCATCAACTGCTGTATTCTTGCCGGATAATGTGCAAAAACTTGACTAGCGACATCATGACGCTGGGTCCCTGGGAACAGCCGCACGTCCCCTGACATATGTCCAACCTCGTACCTTTCACTCGCCGTGTGTAAATACAATAGTGTATGGGAAGTCGCTAAGCAGACATTTTGGGATACCAAGACAAGCGGCATATGCAGGAATGTGACCGGAAACGGCCCGCAGATAGCTCCACAGTATTTATAGCACAGTGGAAACGCCATGCATGATCGTGGATCATTCAGTCTCAGTCTCATTAGGACAACGGCCCCTCGTCGCCACAACATAAGAAGCAAGAATCTGCACGACTGTCTTAGACGTGGAAGCTGAATGCGAGAGGCTATCTTGATCAACTGGCACCATTGAATTCTGGTAAGACATTTGGGTAGCTGGGCTACGTCTTCTCCACATACGGTGAGAACATAGACAATTCAGCTCGCCACTGTCTGCATCCAATGTCGCACCCAATGGCTCGCGTGCCGCGTCGTTCCCGTTCTGCGTGGCGGCAATGGAACGACTAGACAAGTGCCAATGCTCGGCAAGTGTGTCCTATTTGTGGATGACAACTTCTTCGGTCCATGACATCAACACCAACTATCATAGCTAGAGCTTCAATCTTCACTCGTCAAACGAGAGAACTAGGCTATGTCGGCGTCAATTTCCTTCAAGCATTCGGGTATATAAGTCTGGTCGTCGCTACTCATCGACTTAACTTCACCTTTACCTTTAATTCCCAACCACTTGTAACATATTTTGTCAATTCCAGTCCTTCAATAGAGCCCACGCTCCATCTCCACAACAATGGCTTACAAGCAATGGATTGCTCTGAAGCTTCGAAGTCGCCTGCGCAAGGGTGACATTCGAGTCAAGGAGGCCAGGCTCGAATCGTAACTCTCTCTTCTCTTGTTTCACCAACCATAGTTTCCAGCTAACCCAACTCAACCTGTCTAGTGGCAAATTCTACCGAGGCAGCAAAGACAACGAGATCAGCGCCAGTGAGGTCAACAAGACAGTCATTCCGCCCCAGGGGCAGGGCCTCGTAACTTCCTGCGGGCGATCGGATGCCGCCATTGGCACTGAGGGCTATCTCACCATTTACGAGTGGGACGGCGAGCACGAGACAAAGATCTGTCGTGTCTACTGGAGCGCGCCCTGGGGTGCGTACTCTAACATCTTGAACATCCTAGACTGGGATCCCAACACGTCCGATTACTCCATTATGAAAGACGAGGTGCAGCAGGACTCGACAATTGGAAATGTTGAGATTGTGTTTGCCAAGCTGGCGTGAGACAAGAAGGAGAGTGGGGTACATTTACATGTTCTGGGCATTTACCTTGGTTGAATACCAGACACAGAAGTAGAGGGGTGGTGGTAGTGATAGCTCAGTTCTTTGTCTCAGTTTGTGTATGGCTATATAAGGTAGATTGGCCAGTCTTGTAGTAGCCCTTGCAAACATCCATCACCAAACTATCTCACCGATTTTTTACATACAATATACTCCGTGAAATCCTTCTATATCCTTGCGCCATTCTCACTCCCATTTTCTCTTCTACAATCACCAAAGCACTTCAATCACCTTTGGCAACATCTCAACCGCCATCATGACCAACCAAACACCCGATGAGGCTGCCCCTACGCAAGTTCTCGCCACTATGGACTCGGCCCGTCGTCCATTCTTTGCAATTTCTCACCGTGTCCTTAAAGACTACGGTATACGATCTGCCATTTCACACGGAGCAAACGCAATCGAGATCGACATGACCGCTTGGTCCAGTGGCTGGTGGGCGGACCATGATGGGCTGCCCACCAGCGCAGGTGACACTGCAGAGAAGATGTTCCAGACTGTTGCAGAAGAGCGCCAGGCTGGCAAGAACATCATATTTGTCTGGCTGGACCTGAAGAATCCTGACTATGAATCGGATGCCAACAAAAGGACAAGTGTCGAGGGACTCAGGAGGCTCGCACGCGAGATTCTGCAACCTGTTGGAGTCAAGGTTCTCTATGGATTCTACAAGTCTACCATTGGTAAAAAGGCGTACTATTCGATACGCGGAGACTTGAACCCCAATGAGGCTCTCAACGTGGAAGGCGATGTCGCCATGGTTGAAAAGGAGCTCCAAAATCTGCTCCAAGGACAGCGTGTGTATTCAAACGGTTTCTTTGACCTTGCTATGAAGTTTGAGAGTCCACTGTCCAATCTGAAGGCGGCCTCCGAGAGCGGACATTTTGGAAAGGTCTTTGGATGGACACTTGCGAATCACAACGACAAGTCAAAGGTAACCCGACTTCTGAACGACGCCCATGTTGATGGCCTTATCTATGGCTTCAAACACACGCACTACTACGATGATACGGATACAAAGACTGCATTGAATGATATTATCCGCACTATACAGACGGGTGACCGTTACCGTTTGGCGAATATCAATGATAACCCTTGGAGTGCATAGTTATTGGACGTGAATAAAGTTGAGTAGGAGATGAGGGCCGTTTTTGCGAATGAATTCAAATAGCTGTGATAAAATACATCCTTGACCATTGTAGGGAATCAAGTTGATTAAACCATCTAATTAGTTAGCGACATGATTGCAGAGAATGTCGGCTACCCGCACGGGAATCCGCAAGATATAGCCATCCATTAACAACATATTGTGCTTGTCATCAAGTGTAGTGTAATGACTGAAGTCCGCTAGAAGTAATAATATAGCTACGTCGTCTCGTGCTGGGAGACAGAACTTGTTACTTTTCCTGGGATGAAGGACTTTTTCTGACGGGTTAATAACTCCTCGAAAGTACGTATCACGGCGTTATTAATACCTATAGACTCTACCTATCAGTCGTCTTAGGGGCTCTAACCCTTCTAACGAACCTTATACCTAATTGTTCTATTTTTTAATTAGCCCTTATTTATTAACCTCCCGATCTCGTAGTATTTGTCTCTTTCGTTATTCTCAATATCGTAAAAGGCTTCTACGGGCTTAGGCTCGGGGTTAGCGTAGGCGCTAGTATACGCTAGTCTAAGGTATTATACCGATACCACGGGGTATATCTTTATTTTAGTTAGTAAGTTAAGTTCGGCAGCGAGGTTGATAATTATACGCTTGATCTTAAAGGGCGCGAGCCTCCTTTAAGACTACCTAGGGCTTAGTCAGCTAGCTAGGTAAAATCCATTATAGTCCCTAGGGTTTATTCGTAGCTATTTTTCGTATAGATTAAAACTAATATAAAGCCGCGTTTAAGGCTCGTATTAACTTAAAAACATAAGCGCTTATTAGGGTTATTATGCGTTAGTATACGTGTTACGACCTGGTCCCTCGCAACCCACTATAAGCAGCTATTACGCCTGCATTAGTCGCTCGTCATTCGATTAATGCCTGATCTTTTGCCTATGGCGCAACGGCTTGAGCGCAGCCATTACAATACCGCTAGTAGATATTTCTAACTATACCACTTCAAAGGCTATAATGTCCTTTAATATAGGCTCGAATATCGTAACGCGGTAATAAGGCTTAGGCTTGTTCTTATTATTATTAGCTACTTTACTAACCTCCCCGGCTAGCCTTAAGTAATTAGACCTTACCATACTATAAAAGATCGATTAACTTAGTAAAGTACAGGATTAAGTACTATAATAAGCCTATAGCGCCGATATAGCTCTCTAATACCGCTAAATTATTCAGGAACTTAAGCTAAGCGAGTACAGCTATACGTTCCTAAGTAATTACTAGCCTAATACTATTAACTCTAAAGCCGAGCACCTAGGCTAATAAGTATCCGATCTAGCTTTTATTCGAGGAGATTATTACTATTACGGTTCTACTAGTTGCTTGCGGCTAGGTACGAGACCCAGCCCGGACCACCTAAACACGTGGTGCGAGCCTTCGAGGACGCACGGGCCTCGTAATATATTCACGGGAAAGGGGCCAGCAATTTCCTTATTCTTTTCCCTTTCCTACCTTATCGTTAGATAGACTTAATCTAAGCTACTAAGTTATTCTAACAGGGCCTAGCCTATAATATATCTAACGATTAATCTAACGACGTAGCGGATTCGCGTAGCACGAGCTGTGATATCCGACGAATAAATATTCAAGTTACCGCCTACAGTAACCGCGCAGGTGGCCGAGTAAGTAAATACTACACTCCGACTAATACAAGAGTAAATCGCAGAGCTCTCTCAGCTCCTCCGAAGGATAAACGCAACGCCTGCCTCGTCGTAAGCCGCCGGGCAGGGCGCTCCTAAGCAGCCTATACCCGCTCCACCTATCGTCACCGAAGTAACGCTAGCCGAGGCCATATAGACCGACCCTCTGCCGAACGACGCTACACCCCCGGCCGAGATACCTCACGAGTAGAGACCCAGCGGACGCCCTACGAGGAAGCCGCTAGGGAACCCCCCGAAGTTCTCGGGCAGCACTAAGGATTACGACCTCTAGAGGGTCTAGATAAAGGATAAACTCGAGCTAGACTAGGACTACTTCGACTTATAGCGAGAACGCTAGTACCTTATTAATAGCTACCTAGATACTAGTGCGTAACATATCGTACGGGCCTATTACGAAGCGAGGGAATAAGTTAACTAAGACCCCTACTCCTTCCTAACTTACCTCGATCGGTATTACGCGGACCCGAACTAGAGCGCACGCGCTATAGAGACCCTACGTAACCTTAAGTAAAGTAAGACGTAATCCTTCGTAGCCTTCCTACCTAAGTTTAAACGAACCCTAGCGGAAGCCGGCGGCGGCGCTTGGTCTAATAGCGCGCGCCTCGCCTTCCTATCGGGTGCGATATACTAACGACTCCGCGTCGCTCTTATTCCTATAGATCTCCCTAATAACTATAATAAATAGGTTTCCCGGGTATAGGGAGTGGTATAGAAGCTAGAGAGCTCCGATAAGAGCGCGAGTGTCACAGCTAGTTAAGAGCGGGGACCCACCCTGCACCTAGCAGTCACGTGAACTCGCGCCTGCCTTTGTATTTTGTCGCGATCCCGACCGTCTTTTGTTATAGCTCTTCGAGCTATGTCTTATATATAGAGCCTGCCCTACCTAAGGAGTGCCTATCCGTAGCAATAGACTAGATTAGCCTAACTAAGTATTCCCCGTCCTACCTACCGACCGACCCCCCCTGATATTATATAGCTCCTACCTATAGGACGCTAAATACGATAACCTCCCGCCCGACGCCTCTAGAGTTACCTTAGGATACGCGTGCTTTCGTAGATACCGTAGCTAGTAACCTTTCTAAATAGTTTTATTTCTATTAATAGGCATACGCTTATATAGAATCCTAAGATACCTAGATTACGAACCTTACCGATTATATAGCTATACTAGACGAGAAAACAGTTACCCTCGAAACTAAGATTATCGAGGAGAGCGCGGCTAACCGGAACCTTCTTACTTAGATAAAGGATAAGGATATATAGATTATTAAGGCAACCGTGACCGCCTAACTCGCTTAGTAAGCTAGCTTACCGACCGTATAAGTAATTACTCTAGAGGCTTTAAGAACCCCCCCCGTTAAAGAGGTTATAGCTCCTTACTTAGGAATAACTCCGCTACTTACTACCGGATCTACTACCTCCTCCCGACTATCTAAGAAGCTTCCCGACCTTAATAAGTTTAAAGGATCTTACTCCGATCTCCGCTATTTCTTATACTAAATCTACGTAAAAATAATAGCTAACGCCGACCGATTCCCTACCGCTACGAGCCGGTTAATATACGTAGCCGGTAGGCTTACCGGGAAGGTATACGCTTTAATACTCCCCCGCACTATCTTTAGAATCCTATAGCTTAGCGACTACCCCGAACTCCTAATTTATCTCAAAAATATATTTAGCGACCCTAACCGCGTCTAGAACGCCTAGAACCGCCTATACTAGCTCCGCTAGAGGTATTAAGACTTTAGTACGTATTTCTTAGAGTTCTAATACCTCGCCTTAAAGGGAGAAATAGCTAATAGTAATCTAACGCTATTACTATTCTAAGGAATATCCCGTGAACTATAAGATATATTACTTTATAACCCGCCCCCTAGCCGGGAGTTCTACTAATACGCTAACTATCTATAGACTTTAGATAACCGATACTATTAATATTAATAATAAATCTAGTGTAGCTAACCCCCGAGACCGGCTTTATACTAAAACTAGAGATAAACCTCCCCGCGTAAGGGATATAGCCCTCCGAACTATAGCCTTTTACGCTATACGGTACCCGCTGCTATAACCGCTAACGACCCTATAGACCTAAGTAACTAACGCTAACTATAGGGCCCGAACTAGAGGGAAAATAACCTCTGCTTCCGCTATAGCTCCGATAGTTACTATATTCGAGATTACCGGAAGCTAGATACTAGACGTACTTAAGCCCGATTTACCGCTTTAAATAATAAAGACTTATCCCTTGCTAGATCCCCTGACTCTCCCGCGCTAGATAGTCGGAGGTTAATACCCTCCCTAGACCGCACGGAAAATAAAGTAAGCTTACCCTAAGTTACCGGTAGGTACTAGTAGAACGTATAATTACTATCCCCGAGAAAACCGCTTAAAGAACGCTTTAAATCTCCTTAGCCGTTATATATAGCGTGCCGATTAAGGAGGAATATAACTAACGATCGAACCTAATAATTCTGCCTATTAAACTACTTTTACCCGATAATATTACTCTACCCGCCCCCGTAATACTTAATAGCGGAGCTAAGGGGAAGGCCTTTATCGATAGAAGCTAGGCCGAGAACTATAACCTAAGAATATACTAACTAATACACCCGATTACGATCGAGGTATTCGATAGCCGCCCCGTAAGGAGCGGCTAGATTATATACTATATCCGCAGCCGGATACGGATAAACGACTACGAATAGAAGAATATAATATTATACGTAACCTAACTTAGAAGCTACCCGATCGTGCTTAGGATACCTTAGTTAAAATAACACGACCCTCTCGTTAGCTTTAGAAGCCATATACTACGCTTTAATAGCCCGTATTACTAATAGTACTATAATATACCCGGACTTTCGTTAAAAGTTATAGCTATATATACCATTCCTACGAAAATCCGCTAGTATCTAAAGCCCGCCCCCGGACTACTAAGCTAACGCGATATCTTTCTAGTATCGCTAAAAGCTATATCTATATATACCCGAAGGAGCGATATAAGGCTATTCGCTATTATTATAGCCTAGATCGAAGAGATAATTATAGAACCTACCGAATAAGAACCTACCTTACCCCTAGAGATCGCCGAGTTCGCTAACGTGTTCTCGCCTAAAGAAGCTAATAAACTACCGCCGTACCGACCTAGAGACTACTATATCTAGTTAAAAGAAAGAAGTATATTACTATTTAGACCCTTATATAGGATATCTCGAGAGGAACTAAAGACCCTAAAGGAGTGGTTAGAGGAGAACTTACGAAAAGGATTTATTCGACTAAGCTCCT